TGGGACACAAATTGTTTTGTCTATCTTAAGTCATAACAGATATATGATACTTTATGATTTCAGAAATTGGACTCTAGAGAGGGATAAAGATTCCAGGCAGAAAAGGAAAAGGAAAAAAAAGTGTAAACTTGCCTTTGGTTTTCAGTTAGAGATTTACAAAATGACACAAAACACTATAATATTTGAAATACTTCAGGAGATTTTCAAAGAATGGGGCCAGAAATTAGTGGCTACAGTGTCAGCAATGTCAGCAATGGTGTCTGCTTCCATGGATAGACTATGTCCAAAAAATGTTAATGAAAGAGTGACGGACGTAAAAACAAAACAAAACAAAACCTGATGCAGAAATAGTAGAACCAGAAATACTGGATAATAAAGAGTGTGCATTACAAGATAGAGAAGGCAGCTAAACTGGAAATACAAATGACAAGCCAAGAGAATGATCCTGATAAGGACTTTCTACTGGATTCACAAAGAAAGCTTCGAAAATCAAAGTGGAATTACAAATGATAAATCAAGAGAATGACCTGGATAATGACTTTTTACTGGATTTACAAAAGAGGTTTGCTAAAGCCTCGAAGAAGCCTTTGGGATGGGAAAAAGAAAAACTGAAGAGAGACCAAATCCAACAACAACATCTGAATGAATTAAAGATCAAGATTGTCAGAAGTAAAAGGAAGGAACATAAAGTTGGTTTGCTTGACCAAGGTTAAAATAACATACGTTTCTATAAAACTCTGGTGACCCTTCACAGACTTTTTGCTGACACCACCCCTTGTAAAGTTCATTTATGGATTTGCATATAGATAAGGGGTGGGTTATGGGAAGAAGAGATATTTGTTTGTAACCTTATAAGGGGTGAAGAGTTATCAAATTTATTTATATTTGTGATGAAGATCGGAAGTCACTTCTTTATTTCTTTTCTTTATCTTATTGTCTTCTTTTTTTCCTTTCTTTGTACTCTTTATTTTTTCACTGTATTTCTCCTTTTTCTGAGTTTAATTTGTATTTGCTTTTACTATTGTAATTAAAATTTTCAATAAAAATTGTATTAAAAATTACTGAGTTCACACAAATACTGTTTACAAATATATAAAATTGCATAGAAGTTTTATAGAAATAAAATCATTCTTCCAACCTATTAAACTATTGCACGACCCGTTTTTATTATTGCTATATTTTTATCCCGCCTCTGTCTCTCCCTCTCCCTTTTATGCCTAAGGGAGGCCTAAAACGAACTCACAGTCTCCTGGTTTCTAGGCCAGCACCTTAACCGCTATACCAAACTGGCTCTTTAGTTTCATATAATTTCTTCACCGTAGTTTGTTTATCATTGATCACTTCATGAACCTCTTTAGTAGCATCAGGAATAAAAATATAACATTCTTCTTTTATCAGAGTACAAACACTTTCTTTTGTGGTTATGTAATCTAAAGCCTGTCTGTTTTGTATGTCATTTGTTCAATTGCAGCCACTTCCTTAAATAGGCCATAATAGCACTAATACCCCAATTTACTATGTCATTTGCAACTTCATATAAAATACAGTTCCATTTCTTGATTTCCTTAATTGTTCAGGCTACTCTTTAGTTTGGAATCATAATAGCAAAATTTATATCTATCTCAGTTATTGCTCTTTACTTCATCTATTACCTAACTGAAAGTCTCTCATAGAGGCAAATGTTATCAGTATAATAATCCCCTCCCCATCTATGTGGCAAATGTTTGTGTGTCTTGGCTCCACAAATAAAATATTGTCCCACTAAGCAGAGAACCCATTTTTTATAAGATATTGTGTATCAAAGTGCTAGGCTATAATATCCTGTGATATTATGATCTTGTGGTATCATAGCTGAAGTAACATTTCCATTGTTTGTTCAAGCTCCATTTGTAACGTAAGTCATATCACTAGACCTCCCTATGAATGTCAACCCATTATACTGTAAACCAGCATTTCTCAACCTTGGTAGCTTGAAGATGTGTAGAGTTCAACTCCCAGAATTCCCCAGCCAGCCATGTTGGCTGGTGAATTCTGGGAGTTCAAGTCCACACATCTTCAAGCTGCCAAGGTTGAGAAACACTGCTATAAACAATCCAGTCCAATGGGAGGCTGGTATACTCTAATATAGTCATTGACATTTCTGTGTATTATTCACTGTGTGTTTCTTTTAACTGTTATTTCAGTAGGGTTTAATTGATATACTAACATGGGAATCCCTCTATATGCATCTATGGGTATTTGATCACAAATCCAGCAATTGCTTATATTTAAATCTAAAGAATATTGCACTACAGTTTGTAAAAAAAAGTATTCCCTATGCCCCCACTCAAAAGCCTCCAAAATCAAAAACACCAAATACCTTCATGTTGAACGCTGAAAAATAGAAAGCAGGCAACAATGGTCATAAATCTTTGTGCCAATGTTGTACCAAGTGGAATTGACAAATTTTACTTTTACTTTCTTTAGCTTTTCTATACACTGTAGGAGGAGGCCCACGTTTAGTCTGTGATTGCCAAAAATCATAAAGAGTCTGGTACACCTTTTCAGACTAACAAATTTTAGGTAGGATTTAAATTGGGATAAGGCAGGGTAGAAGTACTTTTAATCTGTCTCACACGTAACCCAAATTTGTATAACCTTCCTGTCCTTCTCTCCTTCTCTCCCCTCCTCATCCCAATTTAAATCTATATCAGTTTAGCCACTCTTTGCATCTGATGAAGTGAGCTGTAGCTCACAAAATATTATGTATTTTAATAAAATTTGTTAGTCTGAAAAGGTGCTACCAGATTGTATCATTTGTATGGGATTTTGAGTAGTCCTATCTCTTCTAATGCATATTTCCTCTTTTGAAATTTTGAAATATTTTGGGAAGCCTCTAGATACTCTGCTGCAATAGATTGTTTTGTGGGTAAGATGTGCATATGTCCAGCTCCAGTTGTGTGCAGGCACAGCTATTTAATATGGGCATAGTCTAAGTAAACAGATGTATCTGGTTGTTGGAGTCTAAGCAATTGGAATGGAATCTGATGCTATCAGGCCTTTCAGAAATGAACATAGTGTGCCCAACATATTCCTCTTTTTAAACAATGCTGTTCTTGGAAAATACGTCTTTCATAGACTGGATAGAGACATCATCTAACTCATTTCCCTAATTACACTGCGCTTGAAAACCAGTTTTCAAACTTCAGTTGTTAAAACCAAAAATCTTTCTTTGTATATATTCTTGCATGGAATACAACGAACTTTTGATTGCAGGATACTCAGGAGAAACTGAGTATGCCAACCAAGGAACATCACCTGGACTGTGAAAGCATTGCTCCTTTTCTCCCACATAGAATTTAAGATGGGTGGGGAGCACTTTTGTATGGGTTATATGGGATCTAAATTTTCAGAGTACTTTGGAAATGTTTTTCCTCCAGGAATTTGGCCTGTGCAATGATCACCTCCTTCCCCTATTTGCATAGTGGAGTAGGAATGTACTTGAAAACCAACAGAGAGAGAGAAACAAGTTGAATATCATTACTGAATGGGAGATGCTAAGCTCTCATCCAGCCTCATTTTCACCTCTCTTCCTGTGTAACTAACCACAGAAAGGTGGGAAAAATTGAGTTTTCATGCTCACTATGTATATGACTTATTGCCTACTCTGACTGCTCAACAGATATACCTGACACCATCATTTTTGCATAGGTTAAATTCCTTTTTCACTTAAGATGGATCAGAACTAAGAATCAGGATTAGCAGTGATCATGGTTATTTGCACGAAAAGTTTGCTAGATCAGAGCCAATAGGACAAAAAACGGAATTGAGATGAGAAATATACAAGGAGTTTCACCGCAGACATCTGCCAAACAGATGACTGGAACTGGAAATTAGAGAAAGTAAGAAGGATTTAAGCTCAAAAACCTGAATGCTTCCTGAACAAAAAATGGTTGCTGAAAACAGTAGGTGTGAATATTAAGAGTATATAGCTTGTGATTTTTCTTGCAGATGGAAGAATCTTTGAACATCGCAAGCTTACAGAGATTCATTCCAAGCCAAAAGTGGGGGACTCTTATGGCAATTATTTAGAAAATTCTTAGTGAAAATACATTGATTAATAAACATGAGTTAGAACATGCATATTAATCTGTTTATTATAAGCATTTTCTGGCTCATTAAAACTTATCTTAGTGTACAGCTAGTGAACAAGGAAATTGTCTTTTATCTTCTTGAGTACTTTCATCTGAAATAAAAATCAGATTATTCTGCTACATTTGTATAATAACTCCACTGACTACGTTCTATAGAGTATTTTTGTAGACACACAAAGCAAGTCCACCCTATAGTATAATATAAGAGAATGGTATTTTTAAACTTCCATCGACTTTAACTGTTTGGACAGCATGAATAAAAAGAATATTTTGGTTTTCATGGAAGAGTCAAGGCAGTAACTGTCATAAAATTACTTTTAAAAAATTCCCTATGATACTGTCATCATAAAAATGACTTTAATATAACAAAACTAAACATAGCTCTTGTTGCTGTCTGCCTGTTGCTTGTTGGAGATCTCAGAAAAAAATGTTAAGCTGCTTCATCATTATTTGAGCTGCATGCATAAAGAAATATTCTTTATGGATATTCATTTCACTCTCCAACTTTTTTCCTGAGTTTGTTCAAAAATTAACATTAATTTTCTTGTACATGAAAATGTACGTATGTTTTCTACTTGACTTCCCTTACAGTAAAAATTTTAGAGTAAACATTTATTTTCCAAAACAGTTTTTAACCCTTTTCTATTCTATTTTATCACAGTATTCATGTAAAAAAAAATTAATCTGAGAATTGCATTGCAGTGTTTGGAGAAGCAGAAAATACAAACAATATTTACATTCCTATTCACAGAGTAGTTTGGAAAATTTAAATTAAGTCATTTCATACTAATACAAGAGCCTAAGCAAAGTTCCCCTTTAGTATCTTCAAATGCTTACGTTCAAATGTACGCCTTCACTTTTTTCCAGATCCTGTGCATGGTCCAAGAAAGCTTGAAGTTGTAGATATCAAATCCTGGCAAATCACCATCACCTGGGAGCCATTTGGGTACAATGTAACTCGTTGCCATAGATACAACCTCACAGTCCATTACCGTTACCAAGCTGGTGGACAGGAGCAAGTTAGAGAAGAAGTGAGCTGGGATACTGACAGTTCACACCCTCAGCACACCATTACTAATCTGTCCCCCTACACTAATATCAGTGTCAAACTTGTTCTTATGAATCCTGAGGGACGAAAAGAAAGCCAAGAAATTGTGGTACAAACTGATGAAGATGGTGAGTTTTAAAATGTAACGTTTGTAGCATTTAATATGAATAGAGTGAAATTCTGCTAAGAGGGTCTTTAAAAAGTGTTTTGCATGAGGGAAGTTCCCTGACAGTGTTTGGTGGCTGCTTTACTAGCAGTCCCAGTGAGAGTATTGTCTGTACAAGCACAAGCACACACAGACACCCGGAGACAGCCTTTTAACACAGCTGCATAAGTCTTCCAGAGGCTGTGGCTGTTTTAATGTTTCCAGAAGTGGCATTCCACTTATGCAACACCCTATGTGAAGTCTGCCTTTCTAAAACTTTGCCCAGCCCTAGAGTAGACACATATTTATAGAACTGCTGATTCATATTTGGTCAGGATGAAGTGAGTAAAGCCATGTGCAAGGAATGAAGTTGGGAAGTTAGCAATCAGCAATTGAAAAAAAAGCTTAGAATTTCAACTCAGGAAATGGTCCCATATAAGGGCTTTGACTTCTGTATACTGCAGTAGACAAACCCAATGAACATGACTTTATTCTTGTCGGTATACATAAATATGTAAGTGTATTTTGTTAAGAGAGAATCTATAGTTGAATGGACTGACATGAGAAGATATATTCAGATATGTATGCATGTATGCTATGGTTTTAGTAAAAAAGTTAAGTCATATCTCCAAAGAACCTGGTATTTCATAAAGAAAGCACTTCAGTCTCTTCTCAGGACAGTTTTTTCACACACTGAATGCAAATATCCATTTGCTCATTATGGGAAAATTTTGGAATAACAGGTACAGTGTCTTTTTAAATATTTTCTTAGCAGCAATAGCAAGAAAAACTAAAAAATCTCAGACCCCGTGAAACAAATCAATATGCCAGCATTTCTCAACCTTGGCAACTTTAAGATGTGTGGACTTCAACTCCCAGAATTCCCCAGCCAACTCTGGGAGTTGAAGTCCATATGTCTTAAAGTTACCAAGGTTGAGAAACACCGCAATATGCTATTCTTTAAATACAGAAATCAGCATTTACTTAGATAACATGTAGATATTTATTTACCAGATGCAATTGTAGAGTCTTCCATGCTGCAGAAGAACAACTGGAGACTTGAACCTATATATCTTGCTTTAATAATACCATGCAGTTGTAGAGTTCATTAGCTCTTCTAGTGATAGATCAACTACATGATTTTAACTATTTTGCTGAAGCAGTTCATAGGACAGAACTCTTCACCAGATGTTTTGCCACTGAAAACCATTGCTTCTTTAGAACTGCCTGAATACATCTTATGAGTGTCATTCAAAATGATTTCTGTAATCTTAACAATGAAAGGTCAGTGTTCCTAAGTTACAGTGTACTTTGTTAAACATCTGTATTCTTTTATCCATTAGTTCCAAGTGCTGTTCCACTTGAGTCTATCCAGGGAAATGCTTTTGAGGAGAAGATTTTTCTTCAGTGGAAGGAACCAGTACAAACCTATGGAGTGATCACTTTATATGAAGTATGTTAGATCATACTGTTTAAGTATGGGCTTGATTTTAATAAATATCATAAAGTACTCTTCTTATATATCTGATGGTTTGACCCATTGTTGCAGAATGCAGTTTTTAATTACACTCATGCTGCTTTAGCATTTTAATTAGACACCAGAAAATCACAGAGGAAAAATATAATGTAGTACATAACAATCTCAACATAAGGTGTTAATTTTTGGAACTTGTGATAGCTGTGCTGCTTGTACTTCCATAATATTTTTTGTCTGATAAGTGCAATAGGGTTATATGTGTGCCTCAACTCTACTTTCTAGGCAAATCTCTTTATCATTACACCCCCTTTATCACCTTGGGTGTGTAAACAAATTTTCTCCATCCCATCTCATTCTGTTCCCAAATTATTTTATGCCAACTCCTCTTTTCTACTAATTGATAGGAATCTAACAAGGTTGCAGTATTTTTATACTGTCACTTTGATTTGATACTATGGTCAGATATTTTTAATATTATATACCCATGAAGGGTTTATTCCTGATTCTTTCAAATTTACCTAGCAGAAATTAGGATTTTTTCATAGATCTTGAATCTCTGATAAAGTGATAAAAGGAAAGCAGGAGAGTTGATCTTTAAACAAACAGAATTTAATATTGGTTCAAGGTGACTTTTAGAGGGCTTGTTAGAAAGATCAAGGCAAGAAATATTCAGGAGACATCAACAAAGGAAATGTTTAATCCAGTTGCATTATATGGGAATATGTCTACTCCATATTAAAGCTGTCTTACCTGTTTCCTAACAAAATGATAAAAATACAATATGTGGATACTGTGCCATCCTTTCCAAGGATCTTGCAGTCATATTTTTAATCTGAGTACGTGTTGACCCTGAGACTTGAATAGCTGTAGAAAAACAGGAACATAAGAGACTTCTAATTCAAGGCAGCTTGTACAGAGAATCTTTCAATTCAGTACTGATTATTGGTAGACAAAATGAAGTAGCATTCACATATCTTCCTTCCCATGTTAGAGGTCACTGTTTTTCCCTATAAACTCTTTGCAGACTTTGTAATAAAATAAAACTTACCAGGATTATTAAACTCTGTTAATTATCAAGCCTGGAGTATTATTCTGGCCAGTCATATACATGAATACATGGGTTTTACCAAAGGTAGACTAGCCTAATATTGAAGGGTAAAAAGAGAAAGAGAATCTAATGCTGACTATTATTCAGTGGTGTGCTGGTAAATATTTAAGAACCGTCTCTGCTGGCTCCATGGTTGCCGCCATGCCACACTGCTAGCCATGAAGCAGCTGATCGGCACACTAGGCATAGCTCGGCTCTGCTTTCAACCTGCTCAAAAAATTCTAAAAATTTAACAATAGTCTCTCGCGAGCCAATACGAGCTGGTTACAGGACACCACTGCCATTACTGCATTTTTACAATTTTATTATAACAGAAAATAATAGAACATCTCATTTCTTAAAATGCAAATTCAACAAAATTATATGTTATTTGTTAGTTTAACAGAAGTACTGTAGGGCACCTCTGCCCTTAGATATCTTGGGTAAATATACTGACAAAGGATTATACATATTTTGTTGTCAGCCTATAATCACTGTCAAATCTCTTATCTGACCAAATTAGCATGTTTTTTACTTCATCTGCAGAAAGAGATGTTGAAATGCTATGGAAAAACAAAATAAAAGAAAAATATCTAATTTGGCTTTACAAAGCTTTCAAGTTTTACAACTAGTTGTGAAAAGCTATTTTATTATAAAAGAAGAGATAATTTACTGTGGAAAAATCCCTAAAACTGACTACATTAGATAATTAAAATTTTCTTGGTAATGAAAAAGTTATTCTTCTTGTGATTTATTTTATGTCTAAACCAGCCTTTCTGAGCTACGATTCTGTGAGAGGTTTCTATGGCTTCCACTTGTAGTGGCAGGAACTTTTACATGCCCTCACTCAGCTGCTGGCCTGCTGTTTTGCTGTTGTAAATGTTGTAAAATGTGGATTGAATAGGTTAGAAGTTAATTGTATAGTGATTTTTTAAAAATGTTTATGCCGGGGTTCCCTGAGACCTGAACATTATTTCAAGAATTCCTGCAGGATAAAAATGTTGAGAAAGGCTGATCTAGACCATCTAAATCCATAGTCTTTCGAAACAGAATGAGAAACAACATAGGAGATATAATGGGGAAATATTATGCAAGAATTGCCTCTGAAGAAGCAGTTTGTAGCTGAAACAAAATTTTGTGAGCTGTACTATCAGTCAAGCCTCATAAGCTTGAAAAAAGGTGTTTATTCTGAATGCTTTTGAGCATTGAACAAGGCAAACTATTTTGTTACAACTTTCAAACAAAACATGGCTATTTCAAGAATAGTGATTGCAAGTATTCTGTCTGTTCTACATCCCATGGTTGGAGTGTTATCTTGCCTCTTGCAATTATATTGTTGTTCTTGGGTTTTTTGCTTGTTTATTTAACCTAGCTAATATAGCACCAGGACTTCCAGGTAATTCCTTAATATTAGCATTGGCTTAGACTGGATGGAATGATTAGGAATGTGGGGAGAAATCAGAAAGCACAGTAGTGTCAATTTACCTTGCCAGAAATGAATCTACCTATCCAATTCAGACATCTAGAGAGGGTCTTTTGAGAGTCCCTCCCCCAACGAGGTACATGGGATATGGACTAAGTAGTAGGACTTTTGTAGTAGCTCTTGCTCTTTGGGTCTCCTCTCCCTAGAGGTTCATGCCCCAACCTTGCTTGAATTATTTTAACAGGTTAAATGTATGCCTTTAGTTGATTGTTGGGTGGCCATCATATTGTCAATTATATTGTTTTTAATGCTTGATACTGTTTATTTATCCAATTCATTTTTGTGCTTTGTTGTTAACCTCCCAGAATCCATTTAGAGTGGAGTAGCTTACAAATATTCTTAAATTAATTAAATAAGTATGATCAAACTATTGCATTCTCATAGTAGTTACAATTGTAATCTAAGCTCCTGTGCCTAAAAAAATAACTCATCATACTTTTGTTTGAATCTGTGTTCTATCATTGTATTTCAGATTTGAAACCCTTAAGAGTAAAATAACTTATCACAAGATGTCGACATTGCAGTCTAAAAGATTTAATGAATTAAAATGCAATCTTTGTCCAACTTCTGATGATATTGGTATTCTTTTGCAGGTCACATACAAGGCTGTCAGCTCCTTTGACCCAGAAATAGATTTATCAAACCAAAGTGGACGGGTTCTAAAGCACGGGAATGAGACACATTACCTGTTTTTTGGACTGTATCCTGGAACTACTTATTCTTTCACTATACGAGCCAGTACAGCCAAAGGGTTTGGACCACCTGTAATAAGTCAATTCACCACAAAGATATCAGGTATCATTTAAAATCAGCAACATTTCCATTATGATAAATGTTACATCAGTTTTAAATTGTTTAAAATTTGTAAATTTTACAACTTTATTAAGGAGGACAGGAACATGAAATTAAAATATATTTCCTTTCTAAACAATGGTATCTAAACATTTTTGTACACATCCCTTTCTATACAAAAGTATTATTGATATGAATTTATGTAACTGAATTTTAAGAATGTTGAGACAAACTAAGATAATCAAACATGAAAACATTCAACTCATATCTATATTAATAAAAGGTGGGTTTTTTGGTCAATTTACAAGTTTCTGATCATTTTTAGATTATTTAGTATACAACATCTTTCCCCTATGTAGCATGTGTTTTAACTATATACATTACCCAGAGTCACATGCAAGTGAGATGGGCGGTCATATACATAATAATAATAATAATAATAATAATAATAATATCACCCAGTGAGGCACTACTTGGACATGGGTGTGGGACTTGTGTGCTCTGAGGAGGATGAGAACTATGCCAGAGGTTCAACCATACTGGTCTCATCAGAGGAGCCAAAAGAAATGTGTCTCTCCCATACACAATATGGTGAGAAGTAATTTACAGAAACCTGTACAGAATTGGTAGTTGCCTGGTCAACAAGCACCGCGCTAGGTGTTCTAGTTCCTGGACATCTGGTGACAAGTGGGCTGCAAGACTTAGGACTGTTGGCTGAACAACCAGGGCCAGCAGCTGCAGGACTACTGGAAGAAAAATTGTTTATCTGTTGCAAATATATGAAGACTGAAAACAGTGAAATAATGATCTTCTGTTACAAATTAAGTCCAACCAGAAGACTATATCTGAAAAGAATGTACCAGTTCTGGAAAGAACAACATCCAGAATCAGAAATAACAGGCTAGCAGATCAATGTTGATTTATAATATGAAATAAAGCATTCACAGAAGTAGAATTGGAAGAACTGCAAAGGTTTGCCTAGGGTAAAGAAACCGAAGCCTTACCAGAAGTAGCTCAGACTATAGAGGCAAACCAGGGGCAATCGGCAGTAAAGGAAGCCAGCATAGCTATTGAATTGTTTTCATTCCCAAACCAGGCACCCTCTCCTCTGCCTTCTCCTCAGAAAGAACAAAGCCCTCGGATTAAAAAACAGGAATTGAAACAAAGAATAACTGAATATCTAGAACAGCACAAAAAGAACAGAATAAGGATGCCTGCATTGAAGCTTGTTACAAAGAAACAGCTAGCACAAGTATTAAAATATACCAATACTGTAATATCAAATATAAGCACCAGCTCACTTCAAGAAACAAATCAAATAATGTACAGCATGGCTGCAGTTATAATTGAATACCTTGGGTGCAAAATCAACAAACAAGAAATAGTGCACCATCAAAATGGAAGATCAGGTTGGAAAATAAGATCAGCATACTAAGATCAGATGCAAGCAAGCTAGAACAGATG